ACATCAGTTACACTTCCATTGATTTACATATTGCCATTCTAGTGTCTGATGTATTCTGCTGTCTATCCTATTCTCTACTATCCCCCCTCCCCTCGACATTTTTAAATTTTTCGAATATTAGTTTCTAATTTTTAAATGCTAGCTTCTAACAAAAGATTGGTCCAAAAAGTTGAGTTTTATCTTGAAATTCAGAAATGTAGTCTACACTGTAACATCACAGGAGCATGCCCTATCATTTCTTGGCATACTTAAGAAATAATGTTCAGTAACGATTTGTTGACTGAAGGATGATGTACAGCAATGTCCCCTAGAGTCAGCCTTAGAAAACGACTGAACCCATAAATCCTGGCATCATGAAAAATGAAGGACAAAATCGACAGCTAGGAATGGAGCAAAGGATGACAGGGGCCAATAAAGGTCACCAAGAAAATTCATGGGGGGGAAGAATTCTCTTATTCAAAAATGGTACCATGACTATTGGTATTGATGTGCAAAACAATGAATATGGATCCTAAGAGGGTCACAAACCTAAATATAAACTATAAAATTCTTACAGGAAAACACAGGAATAAATCTTCATAACCTTGGGTTTTCTAGATATGATACTAAAAATACAAGTAACCAAAGAAGAAAAACAGACAAACTGAACTTCATCAAAATTTAAGCCTTTTGTCCTTCAACGGATACCATCAAGAAAATGAAAACACAACCTACAAAATGGGAGAAAATATTTGAATATCATGTATTTGATAAAGGTCCAATAGCCAGGATAAAAAATTCTTACTTCTTAACAACAGAAAACACAATTTAAAAATGGGCAAAGGATATGAACAAATACCTCAAAGAAGATGTGTAAATGGTCAAAGAACACATGAAAAAGGTCAATGTCACTGGGAATGCTAATCTAACCCACATGAGCCACTAGCTTCATGCTCACCAGAATGTCTATTAAAAAAATGTTTAAAAAAAGAAAAAAACTGTGCTGGGGATGCACCTCTGTGGTAGAGGGCTTGGCTAATATGTGTGAAGCCCTAGGTTCAATTCTGAGCACAGCAACAAAAACAGAAGATAAAAAGTGCTGGCAAAGTTGTAGAAAAACTGGAAACCTCACACGTTGCTGGTGGGATTGTAAATGATGTACACATTTCAGAAAATGGTTTGATAGTTCCTAAAAATGCACAACCCAGCAAAATTCCACTGCTAAGAATACGCCCAAGAGAATAAAAAAGACATGTCCAGATGAATTTACAAATAAAAGTTCAAAGCAACATTATTTGGAATAGCCCCAAAGTAGAAAGCAACCAAGTGTCCACCAGATGATGAATGGTTAAACAAAATACGTATGTCTATACAATAATAATATTTGGCAACAAAAAGGATGAAAAGCATGGATGAAAGCTAATCCCGAAAGATCACACATTTCCTTTATATGAAATGTCCAGAACAAACAAATTCACAGAGACAAAAAATAAATAAATTAGTGGTTGCCAGGGACTGAGGCAATGAAAATGTTCTAAAGTTCGACAGTGGCGATAATTGCACAACTCTGCAAATATACTGAAAAACCACTCCGTATTCTTTAAATGGGTGGATTTTATGGTGTGTGAATTATATCTCAATAAGGTTGTTAAAAATAAAATAAAATGAAACAAAATGCAAAAAAGAAATGAAGAGTTTGGTACAAGTTAAATTTCCCTATCTAACAAGCTTTGGACCAGATGTGTTTTGGATTAGGGCTCTTTCCAGATTTTGGAATATTCTCATATCCATGATAAGATATCTTGGGGACCAGATCCAAGTCTAAACACAGAATTCATTTATGTTTCATATATACCTTACATAATTCCATACAATATTTTTAGTGCACATGAGTTTTGTGGACTTTTCCACTGTAGCCTCAGGTTGGCACTCAAAAAATTCAGATTTCGAAGCACTCTGGATTTGAGATTTTTTTGTTCAGGGATGCTCAACCTGCATTTGCTAAAGCAGAAACACAGATTAAAAAAAGCTAAGTCATCAGCCAGCAAGGCAGGCCACAGGGCAGGGAGCAAACGAAAGCTGTTCCCCTGCAGATAACCACAGAGTGACCTTGGAGCCAACGCCTACTGGGTGAGGCCCAGGGGAGCCCAAGGCGGAATCAGATGGCCCAGGAGTGAAGCAAAGAGCAGTAATCACATCATGTGGGCATGTGATTACCCAAGGGAGATAAGTCTTCTCAGGGGAAGGAACACAGTTCTAGGACACCTTGACAAAGCACTTGTGCTGTAAGAGGGCACGAGTCCCTGAAAACCTCAAGCCTGAGCTGAAAAAGGGACAATGAAATCAGGGTAAAATTGGAGAAAAGGAGGGAGGGGACTTGAGGAAACCCGCAGATTCAAAGGCCGGTGGCAGAAGGGCAATTCACATGCGCACCAGCAGAGGATGGCTAGTGAGATGTGAGGTAAGAAGCAAGGGACTGGTGTGCAACCGGGCTGAAGGGACAGCAGCCAGGGCCTGCAGGTGGCTCCAGTGGTAGAGCCTACGCCTATGCGTGTACCAGGGCCCTGGGTGCAAGACCCCACTATGGGGAGGGCTTTGCAAGAAGCAGCCAGCCCCCCACCTCCCCCCGACACACATGCTTTAGAGCCACAGGAAGACCTACAGAAATGCACTTTAGGGACAGACACAGGATAGGGCCAAAGAAGACACTGGCAGAGCAGATAAGGGGCCTTTACGGTTGGCCAGGAAAAGGCAGGGGGCACCACAGGAAGCAAACAATCCGCCAGGTAGAGTAGATCAGGGGCAAGCTGCTCCAGCTCTCTTGAGTCCTGCAGGGTCAGCTTCCCTTCCCCCTCCATTCCACATACTCTTCAATTAACCCCCCACTAAGGTAATCTGTACCCTCGTCTCCACTTCAATCCTTAAGGCACCACTAATAGGGCATCTGGCACTCAAAAATCCAAATAACTGTCCATCACCAGAGAAACCTGGTCATTCTTAGCTACCCACTATGCTGAAGAACAGCCCCAAGACAGCGCTAAAACTGTTCACTTGCTGAAGCTTGCGCAGCCATCATATGCAGATTCCACTTACTCTAGCCCTTTCCAACCCCTTTTCTAAAAACACGAGTCAAATCACATTATAATGTAGAATGCTTATAATCTTTCAATACATCCCCCACTGACTTTAGGACTTAACCAAATCCAAATCTGAAAATTAAAAGAATTATGCCGTAAGCCAAGTGCAGTGGCATGTGCCTGGAGTCCTAGCTACTCACAAGGCTAAGGAAGGGGATTCTCTTGAGTCCAGGAGTTTGAGGCAGCCTAAGTAACCTAGTAAGACTCCATCTCAAAACAAGGGGGAAAGAAAAAAAAATTTTGTTTAAGATCATGGAAGGATGTTATTAATATTAAAATAAGATTAAAAATCCCCATCAATCATCTGTTTGGTTATGAAGCTCCCAGACACACACACACACACAAAAAAAACATTACAGGTGACTTAACTATGTTAGCCTCCACCACTACAATGTAAGCTCCCAAAGCCTAGCACACTGCAGAGACTCAATAAAACTGGTGAATGACTAAAAGCCTCAGATACTGTAATTACTCACAATAATTTCTGAGCAATGCTTTTTATTTGCCAATTGGAAAGAAAGGGTAGGTAAGGTTCATAAGGTTTTTTTTTTTTTTCAATTTCAAATGTTATACATTTTTACAAGGAAATATAGTCAAAGAAAAACAGTGTCTAGTATTATAAGCTACCAGTGAAATACATAGTAAAAGGATTTTAAGTTTTCATTAAGTGCCTACTAAAATATCAAAACTGTTTCTTTCCACTCAGCCACATCCAGGCAGGCCTAATGCAAGGCTGGGAAGGAGACAGCAAGACAGTCTGCAGGCACGTCATTCCTGCTGACCCTGGTGGCTGTCTTCCTGAAAAGCAACCAGCAAGATTTAACAAGCTCTATAAAACAGTTCATAGTCCAACTACAGAATCGCTCCTCTCTATGAAGCATGCTCCAAGGAAACAGATGATCCAAAAGGGAAATAAAGAAACTTAGGTACATGGCTTAATGGTAATAATTAGGAAAACTGGAAACCTTTCAAATGGCCATCAACATTATTAAGCAAACTGCAGAATATCAACCCAGTCATGAAAAAGAGTAGGTAGGGCTGGGGATGGAGCTCCCGGTAGAGCATTTGTCTAGCATGTGCAAGGACCTCGGTTTAATCCCCCATGTTGCAAAAAAGAAGAAAAAAAAAAGTGGTAGCATAGTATGTGGATTCTTTCCACTGACACTTTACCTATATATACATTATTTCCATATTTAAGGACCATTCAAAAAGCAAAAAATAGTAAAAACCTGAATCTGATTATGTAAAAAACATATATATACACACACACATACTCTGGCTGTCAAAGACATATAAGTGGAGAAGGCTACAAAGCTTGTTCAAAGTTAATCTTTTAAAATGACCTGTGTTTGTGAAAGCTGAATGCTCTGGACCTGTGGCAGCAGAAAGTACGCATTTGGTAGCTGCTCTGCAGACCCTTCAGTAGAGATTCTGCGAGTGCCAATTCCAGAAACCTGCAGAAAGAGAGAGAGAGAGAGAGAGAGAAGCCCTCCTTTGTTACACTTGAAAAACACACTGGTCATAATGCTAAAATACCTCCTCAAAGGAAATCTATATTCATCACCATGGTCTTTATATTTATCTACAAAAAAAAAAAAGAGCAGGGCACACCGGTAATCCCAGCAATTCAGAGGCTGAGGCAGGAGGATCACAAGATCAAAGCCAGCCTCAGCAACTCAGCCAGGCCCTCAGCAACTTAGTGAGACCCTGTCTCCAAAAATAAATAAATAAATAAGGGCTGGGGATGTGGCTCAGGGGTTAAGTGCTCCTGGGTTCAATCCCTAATACCTCTACCCAAAACAAAACCCCACAAAACACAATGAATGTTGTATTCAATGTTATGTTTAAATTGATTGTTCCTCCTTATAAGAAAGTCCTTTTACAAGTAGACAACTCTTTTGATGTGATATCACATGTTCCATAGAAATGATAAGAACCACTTAGGTTACCTGAAGCCACAACCTGTTAAAGATGTCACAGGTACTATACTAGAGGTGAAAATTCCTCACCATGCCTATGAACAGCCACATGACTCTTCATGCGCCCTTCCTAGTACCTTGGTGTGAATAGTGGTGTGAACATCGCGCTCAGTGGGAAAGAATCTGCAAGTACACACAAAGGTCTCCCAACTTGTAATATCCTGAAGCCAAGGATGAGACAGGCAAAGCCACCAGAGTCACCCTCAGAGGTCCCTCCCTCTGACCTGCTGGTGCAATGAGAGCCTGATGTATTTTATGCAGAAAACTAGGGATAGTAGATTTCATCCATGCCCTTCAAAGATCCACAGAGGGTTCCAGCTCTGTAGCTGTCCTAAGGACAGTCAACCATGGCGAGCAAGGCAAGAAGGTGGAAGCTGATGAACTTCACATCACTAATACACTTGTATTTTGATGACATAAATCAGGTGGCAAAGTTTCCAAAAGCCTCTTGGAAAATATCCATATCACTCTAGTTAAGTCGACAACCAAATTATGGGGCAAAGGAAAAGTTACTTACATGATAGGAAAGGACTCCGTATGAAGAGGTATTAATAAATAAAGAACTTTCGATGCTTCCTTCTTCAGTAGGTAAGAAAATAATTCTGAAGGAAGTTTTCCCCATCGCTGGAATTACCTGAAAGAAAGGCACCCACCCTAATTAACCATTTGGAATGATCTCGTTTGATAACTTATCTTTCACAGGCTTTTGACAACTTCCATTACCCTTGACTTATCAGTATCTTGAATCCCTGAGCATCCCCAAACAGACCAACATCCAACAACCTAAGAACATACTGAGGACTTGGAGCAAGAGAGTTTGGAGTCACAGGTCTCACACTTTCCCTTTTCCTTCTCTTCTACATCCACATGCTTAATTCTCTATCTAACAGATAGTTGGCTCTCTACTTAAATACAGAGAATAGCCACTGTACAAACACACCATTGTGATAAAAATCAGGGACAATCTTCACCTGGTCAAACTGCCATAAACCAAGCACTGGGCTTCCCCTTTAATGTTTCTTTAATTCCAGTATTTTGGAGGAAAAAAAAAAATCCTAATTTTGAGTAGACAGAGTAAGCAAACAAGTAAAAACTTACTAGCACCCTTCACTGAAAGGATCTTCATTGAAAGTTAAAAAATCACTAAAAAAAAATTAGAGGATTAGGTTTTTGAGGTTTGCGTTATAGTGTAAGTGAGCTTTATAAGGAGCCATTTGCTACCTTTTAATCTTACATTTAGGAAGAAGTTCTACCTTTCTTAGTGGGTTTGAGAAGGGTGGAGGTCATGACTATAAATCTATGGTACTAAATGTCTCAGTATTTGTCGAAATTTCAAGACAAATAACAATCTTTCAAGTCATGTTACTCCCTGATTTCTTTAAACATCCCCCCACCCCACCCCGCACTGGAAGTATGCAGAGCCACCAAAATCAGGAAATTGTTGAACAACTGCAAAAATACGTGCTAAAGCAAACACACAGAAGGAAAAAGTTTGGGTAGCAGAAAAAGGGGAGACAGGGAGCAGAAAGTTAAAACTTGAGGCCAAAGAAAGCAAGAGAAGCTGGCAGCCTGCCACAGAGCAGTTTCCAGGAGCACATCAACACTCACCCTGCAATGAACAGGAGGCACATGGAAATGTCTAGCAGCTGTAAACACTGAATTCACCACGACCTCACTGTCCCTACTAGGGTTGTAAGCATGGAGAATCTTTGCTGCAGGATGCCCCAGGAATCTGAGGGTAAACAAAGAGAAAAGGCAATGTATCGTATGGTTATCCATATTCCTACAGATGCATATACATAATTATATTTTTATATATATACACATAATTTTTTTAAAAACTTTTTTGCTGCTGGGGGTGGAACCCAGGGCCTCACACATGCAAAGCACATGGTCTACCACTGAGCCACCCTCCCAGCCCACACATTTTTAAACACAGAAAGTTGTTGATGTTCATTACAAAGTTAAGGACAATGACTGAATTCTGTCAGTAATAAAATATTCAATTCACAATAGTTAAAAAAAAAATTACATAGAAACAAAACGTTGCGGTAGGTCAACCCACAGTAATACCCCACTGGTTTCTGTTGGAAGAGTCCAACCCATCTAGGTCATTAAATGCTGGTTTAAAAAAACACACTTGGCACATAATAGCATTTCTCAGTCCAGGGTCTCTCGTTCAAATGAAGTATGGTTAGGTAAGAAACCGTATTCATAGAAAACCCCTATTTTCTTAGGTTTCTTCTTCGAGTAATAAATTTAAAGAGGCTTTTCTGGGGGATTGCATTGTCAACTCACAAAAAAAGACTATTTTATTAGGTCTCATAAAATAAAATTTTAATGATTGCTTATAGCTGGTCTTCTGAAAAAAAATGAAAACCTGGCAGCACTTTACAGTAGTGGTTCTTACCCACTTAAATTATGAGCCTTTTAGAACACTCAGATGAGAGCTTTGGCTCCACCCTCCTCCAAAAGGACAAAAAAAAAAGGTTTAATGCATAATTTCACAACTTTCCACCAGTCTCCCAGGGAGGATTCCGGCTCTGTCGTGAATCCACCCCTGACCAAGTCTTCACATCAGCTCTGTTTCAGCAGCTCTCATCCCCACCAACATGGGCTCCACAAAGGAACCACAAGAAGGCAACAGGTCTCTGGCCCACCCCCTGGACCCACCGCCCACGTTCCCTAATTTAACCCTGATTCCTACTATCCAACACCAAGTTCCCTCCAGTTCAGTTAGGTTACAATGGAAAAAGTTCATTGCTGTCATTTCTCAGTGGCAGAGACTCAAACAGTTCCCATTAGGATGGCCCAGAAATAAGATGATACTTCATCTAAGCAAAAAAAATTCAAAGTCCTTATGCTTACATATTTCTCTGATTTTCTTCCAACTTCTCTAATATTAAAACTGTGTTATTTAGGAAAATTAAATGCATGATGTTTATCTCATGTGCCTCATGTGTGAGGCACTGGGTTGAATCCTCAGGATTTCTAAAATACTGTATTACTAATATCAAATCTTTGGAATTTTTCTTCAAGCTTTCACTCCTATTTTTAATCAGTAATCTTAATGAAAGACTTACTGCATCAAATGTTCATTTTAAAACACAAGTTTTTACCTTCAGTTATATATAAAATGCATCTGAGTGTCAGGACTAAAACCTTGATTCTTTAAGTGTTCTTAAATAATACAACTTAAATTTTTCCCCCTTTTACGCTACCATAAAGGGTCACCTCTGAAAGCCCTATCTCAGAGTACTGAGCCTATATTGGCTTTTCTCCCTGTGATTAAATCAAGTAAATAAGGACTTCCATGGTAGTCTTTAAGTAAATAATTTGCATCAGTCAGCAAAATTATTCATAGTTCTCCTCAAAGTTTTATATACTATTCACATAATTGAAACTCAAGATTTTGGTTTCAAAGAATGCAAATGTCTACCAGAAAAACACATTAGAAATTAAGACTGCAAAACAGTCCCGCGACGGCACTTAGTGCCTGCACCTACCAGAAGCCTCAGCAGACAGAGAATGCTGGCTGGAATCGCACCACCACCGTGCTGCTATTTTTATTCTATTTTTTTATTCTATTTTTAAAAGTGTTATGAGGATATGAATTTCCTTCAGTAGTGACAACTGGAAGATACTCTATTAATTTAATACTACAAAAGAATGACTAAAATCCCTTAAGAATGATTAGCACTTTTAATTCCTAGGACCAGCAGAATATTAACCCTTAAAATAAGCCCTAAGCAGCAGGCAGAAGGCAAATGAGTAACACCATTTTGCTTTTGAATCCCAGAGGAAAACCAAAGCTTTAAGAAGGGACTTGGGGTTTGCCCAAGGTCAACATCAACATCAAAATAAACAAAAGCAAAAGCTGAACTAGGGCAGGAAAGAAACAAGGAAGAGAACTCTCCAGCTAAAAGTTTTATTCTAATGACTATAATTTGTGCTGTTTGGAAGAAGGTAAAACCTGGCTCACTTTAAATGTGTTCGAATTTACACTAGGTGTTTTGTTTTGTTTTGTTTGGTAATTGTAGATGGATAGAATGCCTTTATTTTATTTTATTATTATTATTATTTTTAATGTGGTACTGAGGATTCAACCCAGGGCCTCACACAGGCGAGGGAAGCGCTCCACCACTGAGCTACAGCCCTAGCCCAGCCCAAGAAGTTTGTTCTGATTGAAATTCTTTAACTTCAAGCAAAATACAATACTTCCACAATCACAGCCTACATCTTACTAATATGAAAAATGAAAGGAGTGCTGGCTTGAAATCAGAAGACTTATTTCTTCATTTCCAGTAAAAAATGACCTTGAGCAGACTATTGCTTCTCAGCAACAAATGTGGGAACACATTCGTGGCACATGCACAAATACAGAGATATTTGAAAACTGATACATTCAGACCATGCCTGCCTGCAAGATTCATATTAAACTCAAATGACAAGAAAAATGGTCATACTTTAAAAACCATAAACATAACTGCATCACCTAAAGATGATTAATATATGAACACTGGCAATCCTGTCAAATCAAAGTCCTTAAACATACTTTCAACATGCTTCTAGCTACCAGGACCATTAACTAACGTATATGGTTATGTGGCAAATCTATACAGATCACACGTGCATTGATTATAGAACTTCTAGGCTACTGAACACATTTTTTATGTGACTAAATATATTACATTAGGATCCTATGAACTGGAATTGTTCTTCTAATATAGCTACACTACCATTCATTTTATTATGTCTCCCAAACTATAATATATACTCTTCAGAGAAGTCCTCTATTTCTTTTTTTTAAATGTTTCTTTTTTTTTTAATATTTATTTTTTTTAGTTTTCAGCGGACACAACATCTTTGTTGGTATGTGGTGCTGAGGATCGAACCCGGGCCGCACGCATGCCAGGCGAGCGCGCTACCGCTTGAGCCACATCCCCAGGCCCCTGTATTTCTTCTTCAAAGTAAAGACTTTGCACAAAAATATTCTCTGAAAATACAAAACTAGTGAGCATATTATATCATCAGCTAAATTTCTATAAATTCAATTTCTAATAAATTTCTTTACATAAGTATAAATTACAATGATTTTTTTGAAAAACAAGCAGGCATATAAAATCGTGAAAGGTCAGAAAACTCTCTTCACCCGTTCTCTCTTTTCTTCCTTTCACAGAATCTCCCTTAAAATGCTCAACAAGGTATTTTAAGTCTCAGGCACATTCTCCTTTACTGCAGCGCTAATGTCTGGATGATCAGAGGAAATGGAGGGAAGGAATCCGGGTGAATGCAGGCAGGAACCCAGGCCGCCACACCACCCCGGTCCCAGGTGCTCACCTACCACGAGGCTCTTCACCCACATAACTTGGCCTATGCCTCAAAAAAGCTCTTCATAAAACAAAGTGGTGGACCCAGGCTGCTGTAGTAAGCAGAGTTCTCACACCCCAGCACTGTTCCTGCCCTGGAAGCTGACTTAAAGCTGCCTCTGTGCAGGGCTGCCATACCCTGCACCCAGGAAGCTTTGTAACACTTCAGTTTTCAACTGTTCATCACAGACAACAAGAATCCTTAAAGTACCTCCACAGCTTACCCTCCTCCTCCTTAATATCGCCAAACTCCCAGGTTAGGCCCTCAACTAACCCCTCAGATCACATCTCCTTCACTTTGTGGGTCTGAACAAGAAACACTAGACATCATCATGGCTTATACCCATTCTTACCCTAATAAAGGTTATTACAGTGCAACTTAGAGTCCCAAGGCAAAACAAATAAATACCTGAATATAGTTTAAAAGGGTTCAGAAACCATCAACACTGAGAGCTTTTCATTATGAAATAACCTTATTTGTTTCAGGAAAACAAATGCGTACTACATTGAGTTCTCACGAAATTTTAAATTTTACAAAATAGTACAAGATATTTTTACTAAAAACCGAAGAAAGAGGGTGGGGGTGGTAAAGGAAAAAGGGTAATCATGAAGGGAAATTGACTTCCTTGCATGTCTGAGTTTGTTGGGATGAACCCAACTACTATGTATAATTATAAAGATCTAATAAAAAGCCAGGCATGGTGGCACGTCCACGGAGGGAGGCTGAGGCAGGAGGATAGCAAGTTCAAATCCAACCTCAGCAAAATGGAGGCACTAAGTAATTCAGTGAGACCTCGTCTCTAAGTAAAATACAAAATAAGGCTGGGAATGTGGCTCAGTGGTCAAGTGTCCCTGACTTCAATCCCTGGTACCCCCCCTTCCAAAAAAAAAAGATCTAATAAAAAATAAGTTTTTTTAAAAAACTGAAGAAAGAGAAGGTAGGGTATAATTCAGTGGTAGAGTACTTGATTAGCATGCACAAGACCTGGGTTCAACACGCAGCAACATTAAAAAAGAAAACACTAAAGAAACCACTAAAACAACTCTTTAAGTTCTGCTTTCATGAAAACACTCCTTTAAAAAAAGTACTTCTTCAAAGTAAAGACTTTGCACAAAAGCATTCTCTGAAAATACAAAATTAGTGAGCTTATTATATCATCAGCTAAATTTCTATAAATTCAATTTCTAATAAATTTCTTTACATAAGTATAAATTACAATGATTTTTTTAAAAAACAAGCAGGCATATAAAAAATGACCTTGAGCAGACGTATTGCTTCTCAATCTCTTCATACTATTGATATACTTACAATTAACATGTGTATATATGTAATATAAAAGACATACTAAAAATAGTATAAATGAGCTTTTATTAATTACAAAGAAAACATACTTACTGTATTCCAAAATCTAGAACTGATGGCTGAAAATGTAAACCTTTTCCACTGAACAGTTTTTCTGAGAAGCTAAAAAAAAAGAAAAGAGAGATTAACTTTTGCTGTAATTTTAAAGTTTGGCTGCCGTGTTAAGAGTGTGTACTGCCAGTGACTTGGTGCATGAGATGTAATTTTACTCTCTCAGAGGTGAATCTGAACCAGATTTTAAATGAGAAAACTGAATTATTCAAAGTCTAGTATAATTCTAGCACTGCAAATTTTAAGAGGCTGTTAGATTATGGTTATTGTAACTTCATACCAAATGTCTAGATCTTGTCAGCATTCAGACAGAAATGGGAATGGATTTAACTTTTAATAGGCTTCACTCTGGATGAATTCAGACAAACATGGTTATTTTCATAAACCCTGAATCAAGAAAAGGCATACACATAGGGTGGGTTTGAGAGGGAACTCTGGCCTCAGACTTAGACTACTTGTAGGAGGGAAAGGCCACAGTGGCTTGGCGGGGCCAGCTCTTGAAGGCTGAAACCATTACCAGGTTTGTATCTTTAAGTCCAATCACAAAACCTCACATGACAAGTCACAGTTTTCAGCAGTTGTTAATCATTACAGTGACCTAATTTCCTTTCCGAATCAAAGGCCAAGAATCAATACAGCAGGAAAACATATCAAAAAACATGAAAGAAAAATACAGTAAGGACATGCAATTTATTATAAACATATTTAAAGACATTACATATGTATGTAGATAAAGAAAATATCAACTGCCATGTGACATATTTAAAGGCACATAATCCAAATGCATGAAGCTCTTAAAGGCAACACCCATTCTGTCTCAAAGACTCAAAGGAGCTTTCCAAAATATAATCTCCTCATTTTCTCCTCACAATAAGTAGTCCCTGCCCAAACTGGTGTGGCCCCAGACACCCATCCCAATGCAGAGACCAGAAAGAACCAGTTCCGAAGTCCTTATATTAAAAAAAAAAAAAACAAAAAAACTCCTTTCCTCTGTCCTTTCTCCTAGAAATCCAATCTTGTCTATCGTCTTGTCTTTTACCTCTCTCCAATATCAAGTATGTTAGTAATAAAGGTCTCCCTCTGCCTAACTCTTGGCAAGGTCTCCACTCATTTGGAAAGTGGCAAGAGACGAGACCCACTATTTACTGGACCCGCTTGAATCCCAGAAGGCCAGCAGCACTAGGGCTGGGGGATGTAGCTGAGTGGTCGAGCACTTGCCTGGTACCTGTGAGGCCCTGGGTTCAATCCCCGACATCACACACACACACACACATACACAAAGGCCAGCACTAATGCCTCAACTTGCTTGCAAAGAAGGCCACTAACACACCGAGTTGCCTCCAAAAGAGACGCGAAGAGCACAGGAAAGGATGGAGGGTCCACCTGGGCACACCACCCCAGACCAAGCTGGTGGGGCTCAGCACTCTCAAAAAATAGAAAAACAGGCAGCTTCACATACCCAAAAACCATCCTCAGAAAGATCAGGCTGCTACACACACACACACACACACACACAAAAATGAGCTAAATAATTAATGGCAGTCCTTTCCTGTCCTGTGCCCTGAAAAGTGAATTTGCCATCAGATTTTATACTCGACTTCCAAGTGGAGAGATGAAGTTTGGAGGATTTAAGTAATTCACCTAAGGTCACACAGCTACTATGAGGCAGGGCCAAAATTCCAACCCAGATCTGTAGAGGCTGAAAATATGAATGCTGTATCAAGTTCAGGACTGCAGGACCTATCCGGGGAAGCATGCCTAGCCTGCTGGGTGACAGTGTGGGCTCTGGGCCCGACAAATCTGGAATCCAGGCCCATGGCCATCTCTTTCCAGACCTGAGTGGGCCAGGCACTTAGCTTCTCTTCAATCCTACTCTTGTTATCTGCAAAACACAGATGACCACCGTACCTACTTTCAGTCCCTGTGAGGAGAACATGAAATGATCCTCCCTTTGTCTACGCCCGACACACAGTGAAGGGCAATAAATATTAGATCGTATTACAAAGAGGATGACACTCATCGAGCAAGAAAAGCCAAGAGGACAGATGGAGAAGCCAACCGAGCTTCTTGTAAGGAGCTGACCTCTGGATTCTGAAGTCCCTAATGGGGCAGTGGTAATTTTCTCTGAATAGAACAAATGAAACATAAACTGGGGCCATCTCATCATAGCAGATTTTTAAATCTCGTAGTCAGGAATTTTTACATACTGAACAAAATTCAGACATTTGGGTCCAACCTAAAACGTTCTAGTGGAAAGAGACTGGATTTCTCTAACTTCAAAGAAAATGCTATTTTTGGACCCCACATGAGAAAAAAAAAATAGAATTCTGCCCTTTTTTGTTCCTAGAAGTCACAGAATAAATTCTTTTTTTTCTCATCGGTAGACTTCAGCTCACCTGAATTTACAAGGAGGTTTAACATCACTAAGTAAGTTAACATATTAGTTCTTACAGACAAAACCGTTGACAGGTGTTGACCTGCAGAGCACTCAACCTGCTCTCAAGTGGCTTCTGAAGACTGGGCGGGTGTGTGATGTGATGGTGTATCTGGTTTGTTTTTCCTCCACAGCTCCTGGCTCATACCTCCCTCCCAAGGAAGGCCCCCAAAACCAGAATCTGTCTTCCCCAAGGTGCGTCATTCAGACTCTCATTTTCCCTTCCTGCCTCTGAACTAGCCTTAAAGAAATTCTCCGATTTACCCTGCTCCCAAGACGTCCCTCATTCTGCGAGGTCCTGCCTGCACCCTGGAGAGGGGAGTGCTGCACAGAGGTCAAGCAGCAGCTGGACAGACAGGCCTTGCTGGGTTCTCCACCCACGCTATCACGCTCCTTCGAGGAAGTCTCCACAAAATCCCCAAAGGACCACGTTCAGAGTGCGTATGGACAATGCGACACTGGAGGCTGCTTGAGGGGTGGCACACCTGGAGGGGCCGTGGAAGCTCTGTGCCGCTCCCCACACCTCACCGTGCACATCCTTTATCTGTATCCTTTATGATCAACCAGAAGACATCACTGTTTCCCCGAGTTCCTGGCCTACTCCAGTCAGTCAATCAAATCCTGAGGGTTGCAGGAACCTTGATTTACAGTCAGTGGGTCAGCAGCTCAGGCAGGGCTGAAGAATGGCATCTAAACAAGGCTGGGGGTCTTGGGAACTGAGCCCTGAAACTGTGGGGTCAGATGCTACCTCCAGGCAGATGGTGTCAGAACCGAGTTGGGTTATAGGACACCCGGCTAGTGTCCGCTGCTGCTGCTGCTGCTGGGGAGAAACCCCCACACCTTTCAGGACAGAAGTCTTCTCTGCTGACTGCCATGAGAGCCGATGATTGACAATGATTTGACTTTTCCGAAAGGGAGTAAGTGACAAACAGCTGAAATTTACTTAACTATGAACATCAAAAATCATCCTCAAATATCAGAGCTAGCTAAGAAGTTACACTGTTTGAAATGACAAAGTCCTCATCTCTAAACCAGCAGCTTCAAACAATCAAGGGCTGGAGCCATGAAGGATGAAACTCCCTCCCTTTGTCCTTTTTTTTTTTTTTTTCCAAAAATCAACATCAATCTTTTCACATTTCATTCACCCTGAATAATGGGGATGACTGCAGGGTGTGGTGGCACACACCCATAATCCTCGGCTACTTGGGAGGCTGAAGCATCCGGATCACAAGTTTGAGACTAGCCTGGACTACTCAGCAAGGCCCTTGGTAATTTAGGGAAATGCTGTTTCACATTTTTTAAAAAAAAGGGGGGGGGGGACTGAGGATGTACCTCAGTGGTAAAGTACTCCCTGGATTCAATCCCCAGAATAATGATGAAAATAATCCTGAATGATTCATATATGTCACAATCCACTAGGTCTCTTGCAAGCTTAGGCATAAAATAAATGCATGCGTCTTATAAAAATCAATTATAAATTTATGCCACACATTCTAATTTTCCACCTATAAGATAATTATAAGGAAATGTTCTTCATTAAAAACAAAAAAGGAGGAGTAATGTTGCTTCTCTAACAAGAGAGACACATCGGAAAAGAAATAAGAGCAATAAACAGGAGAAACCCATTAAGACAGAGGCACAGACAATGACTTCCTGATTAGGATTCAAACAGCTCAGGAAATAGAAGAAAGAACTGACAAACAGGACGGCATCCAATCAAAAACATTCTGCACAACAAAGGAAACAATTAACAGGGTGAAGAGACAACCTTGGGAATGGGGGGAATCTCTGCCAGCTATTCTTCTGACAGAAGACTAATACCCAGAATATGTAAAGAACCAAAAAACAAATGACCCAATAAATCAGCAGATGCACTGAACAGACACTTCTCAAAAGTAGGAATGGCCAATAATTATATGAAAAATTGTTCAGCACCTTTAGCCATCAGGAAAATGCAAATCAAAACGACACTGAGGGCTGGGATGGAGCTCAGTGGTACAGTGCTTGGCCAGGCTGTGTGAGGCCCTGGTCCGACACACAGCACTGTGTCAAAAAAAAAAAAGAGAGAGATTCCATCTCAACCCAGTCAAAATGGCAATCATCAAGAATATAAAAAACAACAAATACCAGCAAGGATGTAGGGGGAAAAAAAAACTTTAACACCTTGTTGATGGGAATATTAATTAGTACAGCCACTACAGAAATCAGTGTGGAGACTCCTCAAAAAAACAGAACTATCATATATCATCTCTACTACTCCCAGGTATAAACTCAGAGGCATTAAAAGTCAGCAAACTATAAAGATACCTGCATTTTTATGTTTATAGTAGTACAATTCACAATGGCCAAGTTACAGAGTGAGCAGAGTGAGCGTTGGTGCCTATCAATGGATGAATGGATAAAGACAATGTGGCATATATATAAACAACCTCGGAGTATTGTTCAGCCATAAAGAAGAATAAAAACACATCATCCATAGAAAAAGGGATGGAACTGGAGAGCATCATGTTAAGTGAACTAAGACAGACACGAGAATTCAAGTATTACATATCTTCTCTCCTACGTGGAATCTAAGGAGGCAAAAGGACAAGAAAGTAGCAGGGAGACTGTTTGAGAA